AATCTCATAACCAGGAATGTGTGCCTTATCCTTTTTTGTAAGGCATGATTGACTTGATTTCGATATTGGCTAACTTTCAATGCCGTTCTATTTTCGATGCTACAGAAAGGTGTCATTGACAAATCAACCTTCTTAAGATTACCATTCTGTTTTCTGCACTTATTAAATCAAATTGTCTGTGCTTTTTAAGGACATGTGAAATTACTTGGAGGTTTGCTATATCTTCCCCTAGCCCACATGCGCATATCTTCCTTCCAAGCACTAAGTCCGTCAAGGTCTCGTACAGGTCCATGAGGACTACACCCACAAAATGGTTCCTGACCAAAGCCATGCAAGTAGCTAGGTAAAGATGAGAAATAGCAACAAAGAGAATGGTAGTTTGATCGTGAATGATCCTTTCAAAATCTATAGAAAGTGAGTTTTAGGTACTAACTGGCCTGTAATGTTCCGTGCCTAGAGTCATTGTCCTTACAGTCTGTGTAACCCGAGACTACTCCATGGTGTCCTGGGAAGGGTCCTACCTCTGAAGAACGACGAAAAGGGTTGAAAGTTATACAGAGCAAGATTTCAAAAAATAATTCGCAGAAATTCAACTCAGACTGTTTTCTTTACGACCTTGGTGACGCAAAGCTGCAGAAAGATGTATAACTCTCCAAGTTCTGTTTCCTTCGATAATAACCATCTTATTGTGAGTACAAAGATGAAGGTTAGTCTGGTCAGTGAGCAAATTTCACTGGCAACATTTACAAAATAATTGTTTAATAGTGTCAGTGACACTATTTTGATTGTGTACAGAGGCTGAGTTTTCTTCAAGCATAATGGAATATTGGCATATGATTTTTTTTGTTTCGAAAAAAAAAATGGATTTATGACAGGCAATTGTAAAATCAAATGACTGCGGCCCCTTCGGCATCGCAAAAGGTAATATTAACAGCTTGGTACCCCCTTTTTTTATATGAATCCAAATTTGCTCGGGTCTTATTTTTTTCTTCAATTTGTTGATTAGTAAGCTCTTTTTAAGATGCTTTTCTGTTACCTCATTTTGTAGTTCTAAAACTAGCGTTTGTTTGGGAATATTAAGACTGGTATTTCATTACAGTACCGAAAACATCGCACCAGTCACTTACCCACAATAAAATAAAATATGTGGAAATGGAATTGTTGTTAATTTGTCAAAACTCCATCAACAAGGGAAGGAAATGTCAATATAACCCCAAAAGTCTGATATGTCATATGAAAGAACTACTCATTTTCTTTCCTGTGGTTTTATAATGTGATTAAGAGCTTCCATTACCACAAGATACGTATACGGCTGGGCATTGCATAAATTTTAAGCTTCAATAATTACTTTCATCAGCGATGTATTATTTTATCTTATTTTGTTCGTGTGATGTGATGCATCGTACTATAATGAATATTGATTAGTTGATTGATTGATTGATTGTTTGATTGATTGATTATACGTTCAAAACCATTTTTCCTTGCGCTTTTTCTTACCTAGAAGTGACGCTCATTAAATTTACCTCAGAAGAAATCTGTATATATAAGTATAAAAAACTTCGGACTGCTATTAATAATTTAAAATGTAATAAAATTAATGTCACAGGACCATATTACGTTTAAAACCGAAATGTGAAATACTATGGTCATGTATTGGTGATAGTACTAATGAGATGTTATATATTGTACTAGTATTCAGGATGCAAATAACTGGACAAAAATGTGATTTCCCGAAACCTTATAACTAAATGTGTATTTCATAAATGCGATGTGTCCAGCAAACTTGCAACCGAATATCCTGGTAAGGCTCAAACTAAAACGGAAGTTACAATTTTAATTTAGTAGGTGTGGGACTAATATTAGTCTTAATGATGCTAATAGTACAGGGCGGAAACGATTTAAGTAGTGTTGGCCTATTGTGTTTAACATAGTTCGTGTATTTTTACCTTTAAATCAACACCATGAATGAGTTGTGACAATGTTTGATCTTAAGTTATAATTCTGTCCTGGTCTAGGACTATAAATAAAACTGGTGACGTCAAATTCGCACGGACGCTAGCCCTAGGAACTTCCGAAGTTAAACTGTCCCGTGTCTAAGGTAACAATGACGTCACGTCGGGGGTCAAAGTAACAGCGAGCTAGCACAACGGTGTTAAAACTAGAATACATGTGTCACGGCGCTTGTCACACAGCTCCACTAGCTGAGGCGTTAGCTGACTTGCTAAACCGTGGCACTTTGCATAAAACTCTAAATTTGAAGTTTGTGACAAACTATAGCATGAATATCCGTTGTGTGAAAATATCAGCACTTATGTAGAACAATGAGTTCGTGAAATAAGCTGTTTTTCATCTCAAAATGAGCAAGAATAACGGTATGTCACAATTTGTTTAATTAAAAACAGAGTTATTTTTTTTTTAAATAGTTATGACAGAACGGCATGGAATTCTGGTTGATTCAATGCCATTATATATTGCCAATTTATTTATAGCTACACACCAGCGGCCCGCGTTACATGTTAAGCTGTAAGTATATATATAAGTAAACGTATGAATATTACAGCCATAGCTCTTTCCTCGTTGATATGTAAATAGCTATTTCTGGCGCAGCTTAGGCTAAATATACACTGCCGTTGCCGTTTATAGCTACACTCATTTTGTCCATTTAGATTATGTTATCTTTAGCGGGCGGCGATGGGAGTCGAATTATCCTTAATAGCGCTTGAGAGCGATGTCAAATGACAAACTTGATTTAAGACCGGTTGACAAAAGACACGTCCACAAGTTTCCCTTTGTGTCTGTGAAAGAGCACGAACTATAAAAGGAACGTTCAATGGTAAACAGTTACGTAAACGTTCGCTTTGTAACATTTACTAACATGTTTATACATTAATAAACCTTAGTAAACCCTTTATAAATATTGTCAACCGATACACGGCCATCAAAGGCTGTCCAGATTTTATTACACTGAACCGGATACGTTTAACTATTGATCGTTGTTGGAGACGTCAATATTATTGCTATGCTGATATCTAAGCTTAGAAGCCGGATAACCTACTATAATTAATTGTCTTTGTATTCGGAAGTGAATAAACAGACTCTTGACAAGGTTTCAGCCATCTCTATTTTCTATGGATTTTCCCTCTGTTCAGCTTCTTCGTAGCTTTATCTAATTTATTAGATGTATACTTTGTGTGTGGTTGTCTGGAACCTTCGATAAACTGTTGCTGTACATGATGGTGAGTGGTGATGACGAAGATGACGCTGATGATGATGTCATGATGATGATGATGATGACGATGATGACGACGACTGTGTATTTAAATTTGACAGTGAGAGATGCTTATCTATGCAAAAAAACTGGAGCTGGAATATTTTCTTGGTTACGTAAACCAATACGGATATGATGTCACATAAGCAATACTTTAATCAGCTTCAAATTTACCAAGATTTCCCATCGGCAGGAATATTTAAGTCCACAAAAAATCAAATGGTTTCATCAATAAAATTTCATAAACGTTTATCAGCTTATATATAACTATAAGGAAGACATATACATGTATAAATGGCTTTAATGGTATCCAGACATCGCAACTTACACTGGGAAACTGGTCTTGGTTTGAGAAAAAGAAACATTGGATAATTTTTATCTAGATTAACGGATCCTCACTGTCAAAATGTTATCGAATTACTGCCCGACTACCACTTTATGCATTGTTCCTTGCTCAAACCAAAGCTATGTCTGTGAAAGGATTCCGGAAATTGATGACGTGTTTGATCGTCACAAGGTGTCATTTACTGATCTTATACGTGTGTACCTAAGTAGTAAAGGTATATCACATTTTACCTAAACTAATACCTATGTACACAAAGTCGTGTTCGAGTACTCAGTATTGCTTCCGATGACGTCACTGTGACGTGCATTTGTTCATAACCGTTAAAGTTCGGGTGCCTCGTTATTTCTGCCACGTTTACCGTTATGTAATTACACCGTTAAAGTTCGTGACTCGAGCGCTGGCTTTAGCTGGCACAGGTTATAATGTATAGACAGGCCACCTAACAGGCGATTTGTTGTCAAAACAAACAGCGCCGTTTACCTACTGTGTCTACCTGTAAAGTTTCCAACGGCTATCCTGCTCAACCCGAAGTTTAGTTGGAACTTCGTCCCGGATATTGATTACAATAGATTGAACGGAGAATTTGATTGGCTGGTATAAAGAGATACAAGTCCTACATTGAGTACAGGGTGACAAGTGTGTATTACCTTCTGTTTGCAAACATTGTCCTACCTAAATAATGGAAAGGTACCGAACCGGGCTAACATACCTGGGCTACATATTGTATTACTTTCTCGAGCTGAAAAACAGGTCAAAGGTCTATATTGCTTCCGATATGTGACCTATTAGTATCTTTTAGTCTACATTCTGTTGCCAAACATAGTTTTGTAATAATACATAGCAACACTTTGGACTTCAATCACGGCGGTGTCTTATGCACATCAGCCCGTTGACAGAAAACCATGTCCAAGTTTATTTAATATGCGGACAGTCTTAGTATAACCTTAGCCCTAACGAGGACGCAAAACGCAGAATAAATAAAATGATGTTTTATCACTTGTTTCTTGCCTCCTACAACCGCGAACTAAATGTTACGATCCAATATCAACATATGACGCCATTAGTTATCAAGAGATTTAAAAAACGATTAATTTATCACAGCTTTTATCAGATCAGAGGAAATATCAGTGTTGGTCCAGGATGTTGACAGATTCAATGACGTCACTGTCACACATCGCCATACATCGATCCAACAATCTGTGAACACGTGGTTGACGAACCTTTACTGAAAAATTCTTATTATGCTTAAAATTGATATTAGGCAAGTCGTCTTTCATCGGCGTCAGCTCAGCCGCTGTAAACGTATCAGAAATCTGATTAACTATATATATTATCATCATGCTAGTGATATGTTGATTGAAAATACAGTGACAAAGACAGATGTTAGTTTCAATATTTTAATTATATATCACGTAATTTCAAAATGTATCTATATGTTTAATACGTATTGAACATCATTATTGTCCAACTCGACAATTGTCTCATTTTAATCTCGCTTTCAATGAAAGTCTACATGGATGTTGGTTCACACGTGAACTGATTGGCTGAAATATGTCTCTGATGATATTTATATGTAATAATAGAACGATGTCAGTTTCAGCTGCACATATCAAGTATACACAAAGTTCCGACAGTGTATAATTAATACTTGTGGTGTAATTTGTCTCTTGTGGTGTAATTTGTCTCTTGACTGTAAATGTACACTAGACAATAACAGGTGCGCGAATACAAGAGTTCCAACGGTGTACTGTTCACACCTGACTATGTGTAGTGCATTACGGACAGGCCCTGTCCAGTAGTACATGTGGATGTTACAATACCGTTGATGTCTGCCGTTTCATATAGCTAGCACTGTTTATCACACACATATTCCACGTCTCATCCGTTCACAATTTGCCACGTCGTGTCAAAATCTGTCGTGAAGACCTGTCTGGTAAGACCTGTCTGCTCTTTGACTGACGTCTCACTGACGATGGTCACTGACGTCAGCCTCGTCGAAGGATGTTTATTATACTATAGTTCACACCTGGCCGTTATCGCGATGATAACAGGCTGAACCGGTACAGTAACGGTTCTCTTACTCCTGTAAGCGATGAGGCGTAACCTCGCCCGTCCAGGAATAGTTGTGATGAAACGCTGCGCCCCTTCTGAGGTTGTCGGGGACGACGGAGTCTCGCCTGGAGGAACTTGCATCCTCAGTTTTTGCTGGGAGATACCTGTCGTCTGCTCCGACTGTTGGACCCTCTGGGGCACCCGCAATGATGATCAGTAAATGATCGTCCAGGAAATCGGATTCCTATAAACATACAATATAAATATTCCTGTAAGTTCCAACATTAATTTGAATAAAGTATTCAAAGGCAATACAAATCGGATATCATGATTAGTTAACTTTTTTTGGTGAGTGTATAAATATTTTTTCTCCATAATATTTTCAATTTAGTAATGTATGTACCTGGTGAGAGAATATGATCCGAGATGGGTCAAAGGTCGACTCTCATTCAGGAAGCTCAATGATTGGATGGTCAGTTGGCTCCAGGAGCTGCAACAGTGCTGGATCTGTAATTGGGCTAAGTGCCCGGATGAGGACACAGCTGAAGTCAGCATCCACGGCGCAAGTGTTTGCCACGTTGTTGTTGTCCTCGGGGAATTTCATGGTCAGGATCTTCGACAATTTTTTCATGGTATCGACCTGAAACATACAAAAGTACGAAGTGTTATTCAACTCCAGCGACATGTGCATCAAGGGGAATTTTTGTTAAATAACACAGCAGTTCTCAAAGGTTAACATCCAGCCGGTTATCACATCAATATATTGTAGGTAACATGTTTACTCTTAAAGTTCATGGATCGGAGCCAGTTTTACTGGTACAGGGTGTAACACCTACCTTGATAACTTTGATGTCATTTTCCCAGCAGAAAGCTTGTATGAGGGTGTGCTGGATCTGTATTGTAACGTCCTCCTGTATCGGATGTACGGGTAGCACACACATCACTACGTTATCAGGATCACTGTAATACACAAGGCAACAACACATTAGTACACGGTCATTAACATATACAGATATATAAAAAGGTCAAATGATTTAAAACATATTCAAATTGGATAAATCAATTGCCTTTAAAATATTTATTTCGAGATTATCTTATTCACAATCAATCACATTTCCATTCAAATAATTTAAACTTGTAACTCTCAAATGATTAAAACAGAAGAAATAATTAAGTTTGAAAAACTTACTTTTGTAGTTGCTGTGCGCATTCGAATGCGCCGCAAGTAACACGGCTCTCCAGCATGGCACTCGCTAACACCGTCTGCATGGCATCGCCAAGTTTCAGTGAGGTTCTGGAAAAAAACAGAATAGTTTGATTAGTATTGAAGTGGAACGAGGAAATCGTGTATTATCTAACGGTATAACATGTAGAAACTGATTAGGGCCGGGCACCTGCCGTCGGCTTACGATAGTGAATCATAAGACACTGCCTAATTATGATACCCTATGATCTCACGAGTGAGTCACAGGTCGCAAAATCCAGGAACGACCTGGTCTACAATTATCATCAATTAGAGCCATGTCTATACCGCATCTACAGATATTTACACTAACGTGTTGCATTAGGTGATGTAATTGACAATGCAATTGACATATGAGAAATGGATCCGCCGTTATATGATTGATGGGTCGCACGCCCGAATTCAATCAATTTATTCTAGTTACATAATTGCAAACACAATATCTGATGTTATCACGGCATATGCCCCGTGCCACTACTTGACCAGTCACAGTCTGTTACGGCAAGATAAACTTACTACGAACACTGCCACGAGGGACTTCCCCTTGCGCAAGACCTCGTGACCAAATATAGATAGATGCCGCGTGCACTGTATCCAGCAAATTCATTCATAACAGGATAACACCATACTTATTAATTCAATAATTGAAACCAAAGCAATGATAAAATACCAATAAGTTATAGTATACACTAAATAAAATCCCATAGTTTTAATTAAAGCTCAAGTGAACTTAACAAATGAATTGATAATTGTCTTACCTATTAGGTGTTGGCATCGTTGATTCAGTATCCTCGGGGAAAGTCATCTCTTCACTAAATATATCCAAAGTGAAATACAATGAGTAAATAAATATCCAATTAGGCACAAAGTAGAGTAAAATCTCGGAACAGTAGAATACGTCCTTTCAGCACAACGTCTAGCTGTCATATGGCCTATGTACGTGAACACAACGTATATATCCGAGTAACAGATGGGTAGTAACGTCCGTTGTAACGAGCGCTCTGATTGGTCAACGCCAGGTGTCAGAAGAGTTCAGTGTACCGAAGAAACTCCCGTACGGTGGCCAACGTTTCTCAGTCAGAGGTCGAAGCGTATACGTTAGTACCAGATAACCGCGTATTATCTACCTGCCTTGGATGTATGTCCTCATCATTGTCGTTTGTCCCTGAATTAATTAAGAAAAGCTAATACTCAGCACGACGAGGTCGATGCCTGGATCCTCCTATTCGACTTTAGCAACATGTCTGGTATTGTACTACGTACGCTGCACTAGGGGGTCTGTATTATCGCTCTCCATCAGCTAAAATGTTGTAACAATTGTTCATTGTCGAACTTCCATGCTTTCACCTGTGTGAGGCCGTACTCGATGACTAATTACAGGTACACGGACAATAACCATCCATAGGGTGGACCCACGGGTAGTAAGGTGTAACACCTTATCGCTAGCAGTTATGATGACCCATATTTTATTGTAAACGTCTAATTCTATTATCAGACCTTTACTTTGTTAATTGTATTAGCATGTGTCCGAGCACACTACGATATAAATGGGGGAATATAGAATATATGTGAGTGTTATCAAAGAAATAACTTCTATCCAAGTCCATGGTTTAATGTTAGATGAGGAAGACGTGGCATAAAACGCATACTCAATAATCTCATGCCCATTACAAAAATATAGGTCACATTTATATTCAGGAATAAGACACGGGGGAGAGAATATACATGCAAAAACGAAACGTATACATAAAATATAGGTCATAGTAATTAAATATTTACGAAAAATCCATATGAGCAATGAGACGCTAAGGCCCGGAGACCGTACGGGGTATTGAACTGCAGTGGGTTCTTTGTCCTGAGCAGGTCGGCGGCCAGAGACCTTGAGCCAGAGGACGTTAACATGCCCAGGTAATTGATTTGGAAAGATATCTCGCGGTCAGTCGTCTTTTTTATGGGTTTAATTCATGTTTTAACAAGATGTCTGCAGCTGATCAGAGTTGGGTTAGTTATGGTGTCGTGAAGATGTAGTCAGACAATTCCCGGGCCATTTATTTTGTGCCACACACATGTCGGGCCGAGACAACAAAGGCACCGCGTCAAATCGAATGAAAGGAAATGTTCAAGAAATTAAACGGAGATGCATCAGACACCGGAATACAATGTAACTAAACCGGCTGTTACTGGCCTGGGAGACACGCTTTACGTGTCCTGTCGGATATATGTACGGCTACTGGGCGTTTATTTGACCTGGCCAACACGTGTGATCAGGTGCGCGAGGATCCTCCGTCGAGTGCTACGAAAAATAGGCTGCTCTCGTGCAGACTTGATGGACTCGGGCAAACGTGTCTGTCTACACGGCAATCCCCTGCAGTTCCCAACAGTGGTAACACGGGGAGGGAACACACAGTAGGGTACGGGTCATTGGACTGTTTCCACGAATTGATATATCGAGTATCTATTTATTGTCTGTAAAGCATCTTAATCCCAGCTAAAAGTGCACAAAAAACGGGCCTCGTGCAGACTGAATGTAAACCCCCAATTACAACTAGAAATACTTCCATTAGGACACTGATTTGACCAGATTTAGAAACTGTGCGAAATGCATGTATTGTCATGTCGTTTAAAATGACAATTTTCCACAAATTGTTATCGCTATTTTGGAAAAACGCTGTGCCATCAGTGTATTCTAAGACTTTGAACCTATGATGCATTTCTTAGTCTCGAAATGCTGCAACAGTTGGTTACCCGGTATGGTACGAAATGAAAACTAAATATAAACACACAAAGGATTATTAACATATTATTGAAGCGGTTGATTCTTTGTTAATTACATTGTTCAATAAATGATCGTTAGTATAGACTTGCTTTAGTTATTTCTTTGTAATTAGGAAGTAAGAGTAGTTTTGATTGGCTAATGAAAGAAGGCATTTCATTGGATGGCTAGGTATATAAATAGAGGTTCCATCAGATGAAAAGCTGCTCTTGCTCTGGCGGTCGAAGAAGAAGGAACAACTCTAAAAAGGTAATCAGTGACCAAGCTGTATAAGTTTGGGCCTAGCTGCATAAGCTAGGGTTCCACTGTATTCCTTTATAGTACATGGTCAAAATAAATTGTGTTACAGTATAGTGTGCATAGTCACAGGGTATCACAGTACAGGGCGACGTACTGTTGATACAGGGTGTCAGGTACCAAGACACAGGGTTTACCAAGGCATAGGTTTTATAGTGGCTAGCTATAGGGTGACTTGGTCAAACGGCAGTCGCGGTAAAGGGTGACGTGGTCAAGGTGTGTCGCGGTAAAGGGTGTACACAGTCACGGGTGTCGCAGTAAGGGGCTATTTACTGTTGATACAGGGTGACGGATATATTGTGATACAGTTGTTTTAGTTGGCTTTTTGACTATATTAGTGTTAGAGGTATATTAATGTAAAATATCTACCGGGTGTAGATTAGGTAATAGTTATTTGAGTCAGAAAGACGGCCGTTATTTTGTATATATTGTCGGCACTTGTTTGTTACAACAATTACTGGGTCCAAGAAAGAACTTGGTAACGAACTGTAGGCACGCATCCGTTACATATATTTTGGTGGCAGCGTAGTGGGATCCAGTCACTGTTGTGATAGTTTTATATATTTATCTATAAAGGCATTATAGTGTGTTGGTAGTTTAATTTTACATTCTTTGAAATAATAGGATCAGTTGTTCACAATGAATGACTTGGACAGCGAGATAAGTGATTTGGAGGAGAAAATAGCAACGTTAAGGGAAAATAGTATTAGGCTCAAATCACAATCAACCCCTTTGTCCAGTATCGTTAAACAGGTAGAAGGTGATAGACCTAGGGACTCTGGTTTAGGAACTACACGGCGTTCTAGTGATATTGTTGGTCATAAAGATACTAGGGGAGATGTTACAGACCGGCGTCCATCAGTAAGGTTTGATGATACTCCCATGCACACCCGTACTCCTGATGAAATTGGACGTATGTCTCAGAGACGCAGTGAAAGAAACAGGGATATTGTACATGAGAGGGATCAGAACTACGGAGAGACTTGCTATAGTCCGAGGAGGGTGACACATGATATTCCCATGATAGAAGGACATGATTTCAACGATGAACGTGTTACTGTGCGGCAAAAGAAATCAAATTACCAGGATCAGGGGATGTATGATGAAGCTTTAGCTACGATGCAGAAGCCAATGTCTAATTATATGAAACCGGCAACATATGATGGGACAGGGTCCTGGCTGGATTATCAGGCACATTTTGAGGCATGCAGTAAAATCAATCGTTGGACCGAGTCACAAAAAGGGTTATATCTTGCTGCATCATTGAGGGGACATGCACAGACAGTGCTAGGGAATATGTCAAAGGACGAGCCAGGTCAATATACACTATTGACAGCAGCACTGGAGGCGCGGTTTGCTCCGACAAACCAAACGGAGTTGTATCGCTCAATGCTAAAGGAAAAGAGATTAGGCCCATCAGAGACAATTCCTGAATTAGGCGAAGGAATCAAACGATTGACATATCTGGCGTACCCTACAGTAACGAGAGATGTTGCAGAGATGATGGCTAAGGATCACTTCATTGACGCTTTACCAGATTTCGATATGAGACTGAGAATTAAGCAGTCAAGACCAAAGACTTTGAACGAGGCTGTTGGATTAGCAGTTGAGATAGAGTCGTTCTGTAAGGTGGAAAGGGACAGAAGGGACGAAAAGAAGTATGTTAGGTCTGCCTCTGGTGAGAACGTTTATCACGATACCAGTCAAGGGAATAAGGCTATGGAGAATCTGACAACCATGCTTGGGTCCCTACAAAAGTCTATTAAGAAACTTGAAGAAGAAATGCATGATTTAAAAGCAACGAAGAGAGATACACAGGGAAATAGTAAAAAGGACCAAAACAAGCAACCATATGATGCACAGAAAGGACGCTACAGTATACAGTGTTACTTCTGTAAGGAAGAGGGTCACATGAAAAGGAAATGTCCCAAGTATTTGGCAATGATAGCAAAGGACACGACAGATAAAACATCAAACGCCAGTCACTTGAAATGTGTACAAGGATGTAAAGGTGCAGAGGCAGGACTTTTTGTACACTTGGATATCAATGGAGTTCAGGCAAAATTCCTGATAGACACAGGTGCTACTGTGTCATTAGTATCAAAGCAAACATACAAAGCTATCAATGACCGGAACCGGCTAGATCTTCAACCAATGACGCGGGATATACTTGGAGCCAATGACCTACCCTTGGCAGTAGTAGGGAAAGGAAGTTTTCGCATAACTATAGACTATTACAGTTGTGAGTGTACAGCGGTTGTGGTTGACATGCAGCTAGATGGAATCATAGGCTTAGACTTCCTGAAAGAAAGCAAAAGCATTATTGATTGTGCGCAAGGAAAGATGAGAATTGGTCGGAATGACAGTTCATTATCATGGCAAGGTAATTTGGGATGCTACCGAGTCAGTATGAAGGAGACGCTCAGTATAGCGCCAAGATCAGAGATAATTTGTGAGGGAATAGTGCAAGTTCCTGACAATGAACAACTTCGTGGTGAAGCCTGTATCATGGAGTCTTGTGAGAAGTTTACGAAGACAGGAAAGGCTCTGGTAGCTCGGGCCGTTGTCAAGGCACAGAAGACTGTTCCTGTACGCTTACTCAATCCATCGGATCATGCTGTGAAAGTGTATCGTGCTACACACATTGGACAAATCAGTCCAGCTGAGAGAGTACTTGACCAGGACGTGGTTGATGATACATGCTGTTTTAAATATCAAGATTTACCAGAACATCTTGTGCAACTCTACAATGAAGTTAGAAAGGACTTGGCTCCAGAGCAGGCAGAGCAGGTCAAGCAACTCTTATTGAGGTCACAGGATTTGTTTGCCAAATCAGACGATGATTTGGGAAGAACGAGTATGGTGAAGCATACAATAGA